ATATATATATATATATATATATATAAGGCTGAAAAAAATAAATTTTTGAAAATCAATTATATATATATACAGGGTGTCCCATTTTAATCGATCACCTCAAATATCTCTTGAACAGTGCATTTTAGGAAAAAATGTTTCAAACAAAAGTTTTGGGATTTCAAGGGGAACATAAGATGATAACATTGGTTTGACCCTAAGTGACGTCGTTAAGGTCAGGATAAGGTCACTTTGAATTTTTTAAATGGAACCCTCCATTTTTCATTACATATTCTTGTAGCACACCTCGAGAGCTTTCAAAAACGCTATAATAAAGTTATTTTTCAATAAAATACTTTTCAAGTTATGAAGCTTGAAAGTTACAGTACCGTCGACATTAGCATTATTCAAGCTGTCCGATAGACAGACACCTCAAGCATAGTATACCTCGAAAACTTTCCAAAACACTATTTCATCAAACATCTTTCAAGTTAAAAGGCTTCAAAGTTTTATATATATATATATATATATATGAGATATTCTTAAATTATTTAACTTTATATACACTTCAATAGATATAATGCAAACTAAAAAATATATCACATATAACTGATGATAAAGATGTATTATTAAAGCAAAAATTATGTATTGGCTTACGTACTTAGAAATAAATTAAAAACAGGACAGGGACCAATAAAATAAACAAACAAGTAATGTTAAAATATAAATGTCATTTAATTTAACAATATATTAAAGCAGGACGTTTCGACTTAACTAAATCTGTTTCAGCCGCAAATGTAAATTTCACTAGATCGATATATTATATTAATTGATGTATATATAACATTTGCAGCCTTATTAAAAACGTGTTTCCGATTAAAGTAATATAATATATTTATTGAAATTTGTATTTGCAGCTGAAAAAACTTTATCAAGTTATAACGTCCTGTTTTAATATTGTCAATGATAGATATGATTATATTCTAACATTTCTCATTTTTATTGGCTTCTATTCCCTTTTGTTCTAAGATGTATTATTGTTCTGTTCCACTTTAATTTCTTGATTTTGTGTTTCTAATTCCGTTTGAGCTGTGTTTATCTCCTCCATTCTTTTGCGCACCATTACAGGTTGTACCTCCATGAATATTTCCATTATCTTATGATTAGCATGAATGTATTTCTGTGCACAATTGCTTACGCAAAGATCCTGCAAATTTCAGTTAAATATATATTTAATTTATAGTAAGTTCAATAATGCAATTTATATTTAACATACTATTTAGAAAATACTTACTTCGTCAGAGGTAATTTCTCGAGAAAGGAAAGTATTTGCACATTTTTTAAAACACATTTCAGATATCTGATTGTAAAGCAGAAGAAAGTCCTTAAACTACTGAAAACAGATTTATTTTTAAACTTACCATTCAATAATTAATGTTAATATTTATAACAGTAAATTGTATGAAGACAACGTGAAATTATTGGTTAGATTTAATTGAACAACTAAATCATACTAAAGATATGCACATTTCTTAGCTGTAACGCATCCATGTAGACAATTGTATATTTTCAACACGTTGCAAATGATTTTTGAGAGTGATAAGCTCAATGCATAAAATATTATTTTGATATATTAGAAATAAAATAATTTTTCGCAACACATGTTTTGTGAACACTGGCGAACACGTGTAGAATTTATACACTATACAGCACACAGATATCCTATTTTATCAACTATAGATAAACTAGAAAGCGATCTGTTAAAACATCAATCAGGGGTGCGTTCCAAAATGAACCTTGAGTGAACTTTAGAGGTTGAGGTTTGGTGGGGATGAGGTAAACCAAGATAGTAGTTATTTTGGAACGGGACTTGGTTACAAATAGGTAAGTTGGAACAAAATGGCACTTTAAAAATAAAATTTAACTTTAACATTATAACAAAAATATTATGTATGTCTCAGGCATGAAGCCTTCTTCATGAAGAACTGAAAGGATACATTGATAAATA